TCAGCAGGAGATGTGGGAAGTAGGGCATCTCCAGACACCACAAAGACGCATTCTGAAGCCAGAGAGCTGATAACAGCTATTCTTAACCTTTTTAGACTCAAGGCATCACTCGGAAAAGGCCAGTGCTTACTTTTTACTCGTGTTTTGACTATGGAAAAATGATAATTGTTCGGTTGCAAAGAACTGAGGCCCCCAACAGCTCAGAATGTATGTAACACTATGAATTCCTATTTGAAATCTCTGGGTTTATCTTGTGAATCATGTGTGCGTAGCCAACAGTACTAACGTTGTGGAGCACTCTGTGGCACCTTTTGAAATGACCTGAAGACACCAAGGGTGTCAGGGACACTGGGAAATCGCTGGTTTATAATCTAGAGAAGCCAGGGAGGTCTACGATCATGAGTCTTGTAGAAAGTGAAAGGGAGTGCATGGGTTCCATAAGTTAGAAGTAAAGTAAAGGTTACTCATGACATCTTTACATAATCAAGGTGTAAGAATCCTTTTCTCTCTCTAACTGATTTTCAGTGTTGCCTGTGTGGGAAATAAATTTTTGAAGTTCAGTTAAATGTCCAAGAATAAAATGTTAATGTCTTTAAATATTTGAGGCAATGATCATACTCCACCATCTTTATGTTAAATCTTGTGAAATGTTTAAGGGTTTAAACTAGACGAGAGCAGCGAATCTAATTGACTTCAGTGCCTGATATTGTTTCATTTAAGTATCTTGCATGCCATTCTTTAATCAAATCTATTAATGGCTCAATGCATGTTTTCTTAAAGACTAATTCTATTAGTCTAACATATATTTATTTACATCTAGAAGCAATAAGTGGTCAGCTCCTACTTGAACCTTTTCAAATTATTCATCCTTTCAAGCATGTCTACATTTTGAATAATTATGCTGCAAAAGTGGCAACATAAGTACCAGGAATCTAGATATGAACAACATGGAAAAGTTTCTCATGCCCCAAATTAAAACTTGGCTTTTTTCCCCTGTAACTGTCAGCTGAGGGAATTGAGTTGTATCTGAAAGTCAATTTGTGTTTTTTGGTTTTGACACTGCTAATAATAAGCAATCTGCCTTTGGAGCCGTTGTGTTGTTAGAACAGAATTCAGTTCATGCTCCATTAGCTATAGCAGCTCTGCAGTGCTGTGTGCATTTGAAGTAAATATGTAGATATCTAAAAATACACTGGCAAGCCATGTTAAGCTATCAAGGCCAAAAATAAAGACATATTTTTTCATTATTTTTTACTTTTCTGTGAATTTTTTAAATTAAACCTTCCCTTGCAGCACTGGAAACCCAAATGTAACATAAGAGAACCAGAAAGTGATTCTGACCAGTCTAGTTCACTGTCCAAGCTGAGGAAAATGCAAAAAATAAACAGCATAAGTAGTGAAAAGGAAAATTGGATTTTTAAAAATTTTTAATCTGCAGTTGTAGTAACACGGGTAAGGGGAACATTTCATATGCATTATTTAGAAAGTGTCAGAAATACTGGCTAAGAATAATATGGGGGACATTCCAGTTTGTCATGCTATCTTTTTAGGGAAAAGATGCACAGAAGCTAGCATTTACTAGATGGCTTAATAAATTGGTTCAGTAACAGTAGTGAAAAAGGTATTATACTACTTAGTGACCGATTTACAAGCTCATCACAGAAATGTACATCTTTTTCCTTTTTTTTTTTTTTTTTACAGTATACAGATTATTGGAATTATTTTAAAAAGTTTTGTCATCAGAAATCCCATCTTGGAACTGGACTTCATGGCCTCCTGCTTGGCCACATTTTATATGGCAGAATAGAGACAGTAGCCCAAACTTCTGAAAAATAATACTATTATATTCATGCTATTGTGCTTATTCTTTTCAATATGTAATAATGGGTTGTGTCAGTGTGTAATTTCATACTTCAAGATGAACACCATGTTTGTCGGTTAAAGCCCAAAAAGGCATGTTTATCGGATGGAAAGTTTGAGCTAAATCTGTTTAAGGTCGGTAGTGGGGGAAAATACAAATATTCTATTAAATGAGGAGGATGGGGGGAATCTATATGTTGCCTTTTAACACTAGAAGTAGCAAGGTCTGAGGCTTGAAAACTGAGGTGGACATAACTAAAGCTTGAAAACTGCATGCCTCTACTTACCTAGGGTCAAGGGATTGGGTTGTTTGTTTTTTGGCTTGGTGCCATCACCTTCAAAATCTGAATGGGTTTGTGTTAAAAAAAAAAAAAAATATATATATATATATATATTTTCAAGGCTTATGATGATGATAGCGTCATATCAGTGTGCTTTTTGTAGGCGTGTGGAGGGCTAACTTTTGTGACTTCACTCTTTCTGCTGCTGAGCTTGTCCAAGTGTGACAGTGAGAACTGACTCGGCTTGTTGGTTTTCATTCCTGGCATCCAAAACTGATCGGCTTCACTCTGCTTATTTGGTTGTAGCTACGGTACCTGTAGAACCAATTGCTGAGGGGGGAGGGAGACTTGCACAGGTGAAAGGAAGAGGTAGAGTATCCAAGCTTCCTTGCTCAATTAGAAATTGGAGGAGTGAATAAATCAGTGGATAACACCCCATGCCCTCTCTCTATCTAAGATGGGTAGAGTATGGAAAACTGAGAATACTGCTCTTCAGAGCAGCTTGGAAAACTTGGAGTCATTTTATCCTTGTGTGACATTTGGAGTCCTGCTGTAAACTGTAACATGTCTAACTTATTTCTGATCTCTGTCTTGTATGAGTTGTTGTTATATTTGAGCTTTTACTGAGTTTTCTCTCTCTCAATGCAGGTAACACATTATAAGCAATATCCACCTAATACAAGCAAAGTATATTCCTACTTTGAATGTCGTGAAAGGAAGACTGAGAACTCCAAATTAAGGAAAGTGAAATATGAGGAAATTGTCTTTTACGGGTTGCAGTATATTCTAAATAAATACTTAAAAGGTAAGTCAGTGAGATAGATGGACAGTACATGAATATTTGTGTACTATCTGACTTTCAAATAAAACCATTATCTGTACAAAATCTCTTCATTTTTTCTCCAGTCAGGCAGTCTGAATTATGGTTTGGTTCAGTGTTATTTTTTGGGGGTGTTGGTGGGGGGGTGATAGAGATTTTGAGTGCCGACGCAGATAACCAGTAGTTAAAAAGGCATGTTGGCCAATACCGATCTGATCTGATTTCTGATATAGCTATGTGCAGCTGGTAAGTCTGTTGTGGTAGAAGGAGAGGGGGGAGGGAAGGGGTGTGGGGGGTAGATCAGTGGCCCCCTCCGTGGTGAGGGAAGGAGGGGCAGGCGCTACCTGCTTGGGGGGGGGGGGGGGGGGAGGAGGCGGCTCCTGCCATTGCTTGCACTCCAGGAGGGTGCGGAGGGGTGCCCCCCGAATCTGTGCAGGGCAGGCAGACTGGAGCTGGCACTGCGCAGAGCTCTTCCTGGTGGGGGCTGGGCTTGGACCAGGCACCACTGGTGCTGGGAGGGGCTGTAGTCACCTCATATTTTTCCGTTGCTCCGCTCCCAGCCCTGTGCCACCAAGCTCCATGTCCTGCCTCCGCCCATGCACTGGGAAGAGCCAGAGCTGTGCCGGGCAGCTAGCAGCAGCGATGGCACTAGGAGTGGAGCTGCGGCAAAATATGGGGTGGATGCAGCCCCCTCCTAGCACCGCCACTGCCTGTTCCAAGCCCAGCCCCTGCTGAGAAGAGCCCCACACAGCACTGGCTCCAGCCCACCTGCCCTGTGCAGACCTGGGGGGCACACCCCCACCTCCCCGCCCTCCTAGGGCGCAAGCAGCAGCAAGAGCCATCCCCCACCTCCCCAGGCAGTGCCTGCCCTGCCCCCTTCCTCCCTCCCTCACCGCAGGGGGCATTGATTTGTCCCCCCACACCCCTTCCATCCCCCTTCTCCTTCTGACTTAACAGCTGGAGGCAGCTCTCCATGCTGCCCTCTGTTCTGTGCTGCGCTGCAGCTGTGTGCAGCATGGGCGTTTATCAGCAAAATGATTGGCCCCATTGGGCTGATATCCAATACAGCAATTTTTTTTTTATATTGGACCAATATATTGGTGCACCTCTAGTATTTACACAGCTCTTCAGGATTTTTTTAATGGTCTTATAATATAAATTCAGTGTCTTCTGCTTTGTGTTTTATGCATCAATGGGATATTAAAAAAAAAAAAAATTAAAAATGCTGTTTTCTTTTATGAAGGGTCATCTTAAATGTAACACAACTTCGAAACAAAAGATCCATTACTTGAAATAAATCAAATTGTAGGAGTTCGATTCTCTTTGAAATTCAGTTAAATGTAGTGTTTTTCCAAATCTAATATGCAAAACTTGAACGTGCACACACATACGCGTGCACACCTTAGTTTACATGCTTAAGGTTTGTAACTTGCCTTTAAATTGGTCTTTTAAGGATCTTTTACTAGAGCTAAAGAATTCAAAAAGTTGAATATAGCTCCTGTGTTCACAGGTTTAGGTTTTTTTCTTAATTTAAGTTAGTTAAAGGCTTTCATCTTTATGCAGTGCTGCTGTGTTAGGCTCATGTTTGGAGGTGCAACTGTTTGTTTTTCACACTTCAAGTCAATACCACCTGGTTCTTCCTTGCCATGTGGGTCCTGACACACACACACACACACACACACACACACACACACACACACACACACACACACACACACACACACACACACACACACACGTTTCTGCAGCTTTGGTCATGTGGCCTGTTCACCTTTTTGTTTACTTCAGAATCTGCAGAATTGTCAATTCCAATTCTTGTCAAATCTTGGAGCTCAAATAAAGCATGTGGCAATCCCATTTCTTTTTGCCAAAAGCAGTGCGTAGGATCTGAATTGCTGTGTACTGTGCAGGCTCTCAGTAGGAAAACTGTCCTAACCTAAGGGTCCTTTAACGCAACCCGTTATCCTTAATTTATTGTCTCTCATTTTGAAGATGATTGTCAAAGGCTAGTTGATTATTAGTAGGACATAAGCTTTGTTAGCACTAGAGAATTACAGCAGAATATTGAATTTAAGTGAATTCAGTGTTTTATGAAAAGTACCGAGTCAGCACTACGTCAGTCTCTTGATCAACCCCAAGAAGGGTGCAACTGAGGCCAGCAGCATTGGAGGCTTTCTTAGAGTGCCCAGCTAAGGTGCCAGAGCCCTCTGGAGGACTAGCTTAATATCCTGTCTGGCCTTGATGCACGTGCCAACTGTGTGCTTATAATGCTCCTCTAGGAATAATTGAGACAATCAACTCT